TTTTCAGAACAGCCATACATACTGCGATATAAAATCTTACTTGTAAATTATCCCTTAAAATTCTTGGCATTTTGACCTTTTCCAATATTAATCGCAAAATTTTGTGGGGAGCATGCTCTCAGGCTAGTCCCTTCAACGCCCGAATCGTGTCAGCCGTCCACTTCATGAAACTAGCCCTGGTTACATATATACACTAGTGAAGCTCCCAAGAGTGACAAGTCTGGAGGTAGACTAAAAAAACCTGGCTCCGGTTGTTCGGAAGCCGATTAGCGCTAATCCACAATTTCATCATCCGAAGCCAAGAATAAAACTTAATATATCATTTTTCGATTATGGTGACCGCCCATGCCACCGCGGTCATTGAGATTGTCAGTACAGGTTATAAATCTATTTTTTGTTGCTCCTGAAAATGACAAGAGCTTACTTTAGAATTTAGTCCAAACTATACTTACCATAGTCCGGATTTGGCTGAACTGTTTTTATTCTCAAGTAATCTCTAAAAACTGTAACGGCAGGGTCTTCATGTTCAGTCGCCATCTTTGCGAAAGTTCCACTGGGGTAAAACCCGTGGCGGTCACAAGTTGTGACGTGACAGGCCCGTGATCAACATCAGCCGGTTCGTAAAATTTTCAGCGACCAGCAACGTAGATCATAAATTATGTGAGTTATTTTTTAGAGACGATTCATACCGCGTGATCCGTAAAGGCTTGCATAGCCAGATACGTCGTCAGGCACCGTTCGTGCCGGGATAGTGCAGTGTGCCCAGGGTACTGGATCCCCAGACAAATAAGAATGAACCTTTTACCGAAGTCACGCAAAAAAAAAAAAAATGCCTCGAAATGTATTTTTCCCATAAAAAAATCAACGTGGATAGTAGAAAGCACTTGCTCAATTTTTCCCCATGGCTCCCCTTGCACGATTTTTTTTCAACAGTTTTTGCTGGGCGACCTGGTTTTTTTTTTTCCGGACATTGTCCCGCCCCCCACCCCCTTCAAAAAAAATAATGTTCGTCCCCGGGTGCGACACCTTTGTTGTTCGCCCGCAGGCCATGCGCATTGAGCAGTTCTGTTTTCAGATAATAACACACAAGAAGTGGTCATCGCTGCGGGGCTTCTCTAAACCAGTAAAACTTCAGCTTTGCAGTTGGATAGGTGAGGTTATACATATTAGTTTTGCTTTTCTTATGGCGGTAGTAAGCTTAAATTGTAATGGTACGTACGCGACTAAAGTTCGTTTTTATGGGAAGTCCTGAAATCACCTAAGCGGCTGGAAATCCAGACATTTTTGTTTACAAAAGGAAAAAAAACAAACCGGGCTTCGGATGTACTAAAAACACTTAACTAATATCTCAACAAGACAATGAAAATTAACCGCTAAAATCGTGGAAATTTGCCTTCAGAGTTGATTAGCATGACCCACATGAACCCAATGAAAGTGACCAGCCATAAACTGGTTAATCCTGGTCCGTAAGGTAACCCCGGGTGGGGTCGGGGGATGGGGGGTGGTGACCCCACATTGCTTTGGGTCTTTTCATTACGTTATTAGGCTGAGGTCAGTGCACTTCAGTTTGCTTAGCTTAGAGGTGATGATTAGTGAAATCTGTGATTTGCTAAGACACCAAAACCTTTGTTTGAACATTGCCCCAGACTGATACTATCTCATGGTATTATTAGACACAAAAATACATGATCTTTTGACATCACATAGGCTTCTGAGACTTCATGATTGGCAGGAGTATTTTGCAGAAGGTAGAATGCTGAATGGACTGTTTATTGCAGTTAGTTTCACTCATGTTTGGTTGCAGTTAGGCTTTATTTGTTGGAGAAGGCTGAGTACATTATAATGCTGTCATTTCCCACAAATAAAAGCTAACCGCAAGCAAACATGAGAGAAACTAACCTGCGAGGAAACAGTCACGTGGCTTTCGATTCACTGTTCAGCATTTAACCTTTAAAATACCCTTGCCATTCAAGATCAGAACAAAGTTTTTCGAGACTCAAGATTTTCCAGGTATGAGCTACCCCCTAACTTCAAATGACTATTGGTATCATTAACTTGTAGCCTCCTTTGAGAGCTTGATAGTCATTCTCACTTCCCCCAGGATATTTAACAATTATTCCACAAGTATGCGTTGGATATGAGTTGGCTATAGTCAGCTCTTATCCAACAAGCGTGATTGGAATAATAATTGTTCCAGAACATAGAAAACTAAAATACAAAATAGCAATTAAAAAGTTCTAAAAATTACGCGTAGGCATACCATATAAAGCCTGACTGGAAGGAAGGCAAAGGAAGTGGTGAACCTGCAATCCTTATAAGTCACCTGTCTTACCCATGAGAGGGAGGGAAGCAGGAGTGGAGGCTGAGCTGATGCTCATGAGATTGAATTTTTGGGCAGAGAGGTAGGCAGGCAAAAGACTGAGGGGAAGTGAGGGTTGGAAGCTAACAAGGTTTGGAACTTACATGTACAACTGCCTCAAAGTGCCCCATTTGTAATTGAATACAAAAATTAAATTAATAAATACTAGGTCTTATTTTAAGTCTACCAATCAATTATACCTTTTAAGGAATTACACTGATAGATTTAGAGAATAAATTTGTTGATTTTTTTTATTTCGTCTCTGCTGATAACTCACAGAATAATGTCGTCTGAAGATGAAGTAAATACTAATGGGATGCAAAACTTGGTATGTACAGTGTATAATTTTTTAATAATAATAATGCAATATTAATAATTATTTATATTTCATGAAAACAATATAATTGAAATGCACATGCTATTGGGAACATTGTTGTGCTAAAGGGACCATTCTTATGACTTTGTTTATGACCTGACATTTCACACTAAGCGATCAAAGTATTTCAGCTAAAGATTTATGGTAACATTATGTGGAGACAGTGTAGTTTTTGTAATTTTGGTCATGTTCATCCTAAACTTCCAACACATTCAAACTCAAATGTCCAATTTTTAGTAAGAGTCGTCACAGCAGATGTAGATGGTTAGTTAATTGTTTAATATGTATTGTGTTGCACTTGTTTTAAGTTAAAACTTATAAACACTCTCAATTGTTTTTGAAACTAGGTAGTCAGTGAGCCTGCAACCAAGGCAAAAAGGTAACCCAGTATGTAATAATAAATAGTAAAACAGTTCTTATTATTATTTCTAATTAATAAATAGAGATCATGGTAAATAAATATTAAATTAAAGTAAACAAACAAACAAACCAATAAAATAATAGGAGAATAAATTAAATAAAAGTAATGCCATTTTCTAAGTATCTATTGTAAGTTTTATTTTGTATTGACTTTAGAACTGGAATTGTCTTTGATGAAAGGATGAAAAAACATTTCAATGTTTGGGACATGTAAGTTGTCTGTTTGTAGATAGCATATAATAATATAATAAATATTTCTGTATTTAAGCTCACTACACATGGGGATTGACTTACCTGTATGTACATCTGTTCAGTAACACCAGTGCACACAGTCACTTGTTAAGACCTTGCATTCTGTATTTAATTGGCTCATTCTTGCAGGTGGTTATACATGGCTCACACAGCTAGGCTGGAACTGTAGCTATTATTGATATTAATTTTAACTTAACATATGAAGTGCTTTCAGTAAGTATGAAAGTTGATCCAGCTCAAGAAAATAATGTTTTAGTCGAAGTGTGCAATACCTGTCTCATAAATGTCTGCATGGATATTATAGCCACAAACATTTTTAGGATAATTTTAAAGATGTGAACCCATAAGAAGTCTACCCACTAATTCCTACATGTATTTTGTATATTGCCTGGCCAGATCTAATGCACAGAGAACCGTATGTGACATATTGTACAACAGACTAACCTTGAGTTCTAGATATATTCCTTGGAACTCAAAAGGCTATATTTTTTTTAAATTTAGAACTCACCCTGAAGTTCCAGATAGAATTCAGCGGCCCTATGACAAGCATAAGGGGTATGGTCTGCTGAAAAGATGCCAGGAACTCCCTGTAAGTCAAGTGCAACTTATGCTGTACGAACATTTACTGTACACATACAAAATAAAATTGTATCCCTGGGAATTGCCTAATAGTGAGATTAAGGGTACCATATTTACTGTTGTCAAAAAAATGACAAATATTTTCAAATTAGAAGAAACTAATTGTAATTATTTGAAAGTGATATTAAAACTGTTATAATCCTGACATTGTTTTATTTTTAGTCTCGGTTTGCTACAGATGATGAGATTCTCTGTCAACACAGGTATGAATTTAATTTTTCATTATTTACTAATAATAGTCAAAACGTGTTCATTACCCTTCACTATTAGCCTTTTAGTAATCAAAAACTAAAATTGATTTAATTTATTAATGCATTAAAATTTTGATCAAACGATGAAGTTAAAGTGCCAGTATTTCTTTTGATTCTGATGGTATCATAAAATGTTGTATTGTGGAAAATAGTTGAATATAAAACGGTTCTGATCATGAATGCAAAGAAAGTTTTTACAAAATCCTAAAGAAAATTCTGCACCAATCTTCATGAACACACAGCATTGCATTATAAATTACAGCAAAGCTCATGTTAACAAGATGAAATCAACGCAGACCATGACAAAAGAGGAACTGTATAACATAGGGGCGTGTGATTATGACTCGGTCTACATGAGTCAGGTGAGGATTGGTTAATTTCATACATTAGGCAACTTTTAATTACTTCATTATCCATTAATTAGCAAGGGACATGTCGCTCGGATAATTAACTTGTCCTACTTAATTATGGCAGTGATAACATAATGCTGGACAGGTATGAGAGTGAGACCTGTGTGCATGGTTTTCAAGCTAGATTTAAAGTATCTTTTCTTATCATGCTAGACTGCTGGGACTCTATTATACCTGGAGAATTTGTTTCTGAATGTATCTCCTTGAACTAAATTAGACTGGTCCAAGTTTTGATTTGAAGGATGTGCTGAGTTGCATTCATAATCATGTGCTTTTTCATACTCTCTTTTGTTGAAATTTTGTACAGTTTCTCTGCAGGGGCATTCCTTTGATCCATGATCAGGATCAGGATCAATGTTCTGAGATTCATGACTCAGATCATGACCAGTACATTAACGGAACCTAACGATTCCTTTCTTAGAGTGGATTCAGTGGTTCATTTGATGCACCATTGTCAGACAAAAGATCCTGATCTAGCTAGATCATCCCAAAGGAACGTTCCCTGAGTCACACTGGCCTCATTTAGCCTTGATTGTTCCTTACTGCTAACTGAAAAAGTTCTGGTAACGACATGAAATGAAAGCAAGACACCAAATAAAAGACAGTTGTTTTAGGGTGAAACAAAATGGAACATAATTAAGAAGTAATGTGTGAAAAAAGAGCACATTTTGGCATTTTGTTTCATTCTGACTGTTTCCAATCTACAAAAGTTCAAGTTACTTTTACTTAGTATTTTAATGTATTGTTAGCCAACCACATCTCACAGATATGAAGGCAACTCAAACAATGTCAAATGAAAAATTACTTGCAAAAGGAAAAGCAGTGACATTTGAGCAAGATATGTACTATAGTCAGGTAAATACTGACATCTGATCTTGCCTTTCATATAATGTGCAGTTCCAGAAAATATCCATACTCCCCCCACAGAAGGGATTGGAATTTCCTGGGGGGTGGGAGTTCTGAAAGACCAAAAAATTTAAAGAAACGTGTGAAGCATTATTGGAATTTCCAGAGGGGTGGGGGAGTCTTAGAAAGAATCCTTTCTGTGGGAGAGGTATAGATATTTTCTGGACCTACACAATACCACAATGCGATTTGACTATCTTAGAACTTTATTTTTTGCTCTTTTAGCCAAGAAGCCGATTGAACGTGCCAAAGTCACATTTGACTATGAACCTGAAAATCCTGATGAGCTGAAGTTAACAGTGGGTGATATTCTCACTGTTATCGACAAGGAAGAGGAAGGCTGGTGGAAAGGAGACCTAGGTGGAAAAATTGGCATGTTTCCTTCCAACTTTGTTGAAGTACTGCAAAATGCTGAAGAATTGTCGACTCCTGTGGTAAGGATTCAAACACTTGGTGATGTACGTTAAATTTCAGTTGAACCTATTCTTTCTTGGGAGGCGTGGCGGCCTCATGGTTAGTGCACTTGACTCCGGATTGAGCAGTCAGGGTTCCAGCCCTGGCCAAGGACATTGTGTTCTTGGGCAAGACACTGTACTCTCACAGTGCCTCTCTCCACTCAGGTGTATAAATGGGCACAGGCGAATTAAATGTTGGGGGTAACCCTGGGATGGACCAGCATCCAGGAGGAGTAGAAATACTCCTAGTTGCTTCATGCTACCGGGATAAGCCCTGCCTGATGGGCCACTTGGCTCATATGCAGACCCCACCTTTTTACATGTGGCTAAATGTAATTTAGGCTAAGTTAAATGTGAAACATGATTGCTAGCCAGCAGTCCCCCTCAGAGTGGGTATGGTGTGACCAGGGGATTTGTGCAGGGGCACCTGAATTTTACAGCTTGGCTTCAGATGTCAAGTCGATCCACGTGTTTTTCACTGCTGGACAGGTCTCATTAAGCTTTTCTCTCAGTCCAGTCTACCCCCTTTGGCTTCATGGCAAGGATGTGGTAAGTATCCTGTGTTCCCACTGTTTTTTCAGTGTGGCGGTGCCTGGTGGTTGCCACTCGCAGGTTTGTCATGGATACCCTACATGCTTGGTTTAGTTTGTTCTTGGGCTCCATCATCCTTTCAGGCACCATTCCCTAAGCTCATGGATTGTTGATGAGCTTAACTACTCTTAAGGTACATGAATTCTTAAGGTGTATCTTGAGAGTGAGAAATGTCAATTTCCATTTTTCTCCGCAAACCATGGGCTTTCAGACAAAATGAAAATTCAAAAGGATTCAATTTGCGCAGTGCCCGGCGCCCTTAATGAAACTCCTGTTGCATTGTAATGATTGAACTGTTACTAAACAAAAAGAAATG